GTTACCATGGTAACAGCAGCTTCCTGTTCCAGTAGTGCGAGGGAAGGCCATCTCAAAAGTGGATGGTGTATACCCTACAGCAACTCAAAGAGACTCAGTTCATCAGCAAGGCAGCTTCACACCGAGTGTAGTGAAGTGAGTAGGTGAAGGGAGGAGCCACAGATTGGGAAAGCTCAGTGTTTCATACCCCACAACAGCAGAGCACATTCAGCCACAATTTACTCTCTCTGCTAATAACCTGGTTCTTTGCATCAGCAACTCAACCCACCTCTGCCTCTTCAGGTGAGTTTGAGGAAAGAATTATTACAAGATCGGTTTACCTGCTTTTATGTCCTAAATATTTGGACAATTTATGGAAGATGAGCCGTGCTATGACTCAGCTTTAGGGTATCCAGTATGGTGCTGCTACAGGGTCTTCAGGGCCCCTTCTCCTGGACACAGGAGAAGAGTTCAGGCCACTTTTGGTCTGGAGGACGTTTTACCTCCCACCCCCTTGTGTCCGTCCAAGTCCTACCCTCCACTTTCTGCTTTAGAGGGACTGGGGGGAGCCCCCTCTGACTCTGGCACAAAAGCAGTTTAGGGTGAAAACCCCTTGCTTCATGCACCAGATGTGTTCAAGGGGGGGCTCCCTCTGATTCCAGCATCACAGGGAGAGTGTGCCGCCTCTACTTTCCACACCAAAGAGGTTAGAGTGGGACCTCCCTTTGTTTCACAAATCAGAGGGGTTAGAGAGGGAGCCCCCTTTGCTAACAACATCAGAAGGATTAGAGAGTGAGCCCTCTCTGCTTCTCACATCAGTGGGGTTAGAGAGTAAGCCCTTCTGCTTCCCACATTAGAAGGCTTAGAGAGTGAACCCCCTCTGCTTTCTGCACCAGAGGGAGTCAACAATGAAAATTCTCATTTTCTTTTTTCTGTCAAGTCTCAGCCTGCCAAGGTCAGGTCCCAGCCTAACAAGGTTAAGTTGACTGGGATGCTGGTGAATATTCTCAGTCATCCAGGTCCTAGTCATTACAAAACAGAAAATTAAAAACAATCCATTGGACTTTGTTTGAAGTTTGAAGATGTTTCACTTCCAAACCAAGAAATTTTTTCTATTCAAAATGTCAGGAATAGGGTTGAATTTAAGGTTTTATACAGTAGCCAAACAAAACCTTGTTTTTGTTTTCAAAACATGCAAATTGAAACGGATGAAGGGGTCCACCCCCTTGGAATGGGGGTCATGTGGCTGTTAGCCTGCAATGCCAGGCTGAATAGGTAAGGTCCTCTGCTCTCCTTTACAGGGGTTGGTGTTGCGGTGACAGCGGGAAGGGATTAACTCTATCGCTGCATTGTAGGTTTTTGAAAGCTAAAACCTGAGTCCACTCCCTCTGTTTAAGGTTGTTTTTTCTTAACATAGATGACTTCCTTCACATCCCTCTCAAACCACCTTCCCGCTATCATAGCAGCCCCAGCCCCTGTACAGGAGAAAGAACACCAGTCCTGACATTTTGAATTGAAAAAGCTAGGGATGCACGATATAATCGGCCCCCTATCGGTATCGGCCTGTATCGGCCTTAAAACTGAATATCGGACATCTGCCACCCCACCGATATTTAACCCGATATAAAAAAAAATAAAAAATACTACTTTTTCTTCCTCAAAAACTTCTAAAGACGAGGGAAAAAATATTGATACATTAAAATATCCCAATATCTTCATATGCTGATATATTGCCATTTAAAAACACCATATCAATCTCTTTTACTAATGAAATTAGGGTTGCAACAACAAATCGATAAAATCG